GGCAGTCATCTCTTTAAACCATTCTGCAGACCTAAACAACACATCAAGAAAGTGTGACATCAGCTGTAGTGTTTTACAGTGGGGAACCTTCTGGTTTTACCCATAATCCTTTGGGGGGGGGGAGTTTTTAGGCAATCAAGGTTAAGAAACTTGCCAGAGTCACATGACTAGTGTCTATAGCCAGATTTGAACTGAGGTCCTCCAGACTCCAAGACCAGTGCTTTATCCACTGCACCACCTAGCTGCCCCACCATAATCCATTCTTCAAAGAAGGGAGGGAATAGCCGAGTCTTCCAGTGCCTTTCTTCATTATATTTATCATTTCATACTGTCTAGTAAGTACACATTCAGGTACCACAACTTTTGTTTTTGTTGTTCAGTCATTTCAGTTATGTCCAACTCTTTGTGACCCCATTTGGGTTTTTCTTAGCAAAGATAATGGAGTGCTTTGCCATTTCTCTCCAGCTCATTATACAGATAAGAAAACTGAGGCAAACAAGGTTAAGTGACTTGCCCAGGGTCACACAGTTAGTGTCCAAGGCCAGACACTTTATGCAGATCTTCCTGATTCCAAGCTTGGCACTCTAATCCACTGTGCCACCTAGCTACCCACAACTTTGTTAGCTGCTCCCAGATGGACAGGCATCCACTTGGTTTCCGGTTCTTTGCTATTACAAAAACTTGCTGTAATTATATTACCATATACAGAAGCTTTATTATTTGTATCATCCATCTTCTTAGGGTTTATGCTTTAGCATGGTGCTCTCTGGATCACAATATAAGGATAGCTTAATCAACTTTCTTGGAATCATTCCAGATTGCTTTCCAGAATGGTTGGGCCAGTTTCCCAGCTGTGCATTAGTGTAGCTGTCTTTTCATCCACGGCCACTCCAGAGTGGACGATTCCCATCTTCTTTCATTTTTGCTGGTTTGCAGGGTGTAAGGTGAAATCTCAGAGTTCCAGCAAACAATTATTTTTAAGCATTTATTGTGTGCTAGGCATTAGAAATACATAGATATTAAGTATACTGCCTTCAAGGAATTCACCTTGTGTGAGGGAAACAACGTGTATTCATAGAGAAAAGGTAAATTGTTGGTGGGGAGAAACAAACAGGTAGAAGACATGAATTCCAGAAGTCTGTGCTTGAGCTGAGCTCCGAAGGGAGCTAGAAAAAGAAATCTACTCAGAGGAACAGGAGAGAAATCTGACTGTGGAGCAGATTGAGGGAGGCTTTCAAGGTGCCATTGAAGGAGATTTTAGTCTTGAGTTCTGATTGGGATGTTTGGGAAGAACATTGACAAGTTAGATTGTTACAGAGGGATGACCATGATGAAGAGGGGATAGGTTGAAGAAGCTAGGGGTGTTAAGCTTGCAAAAGGGAAGACTTAAGAGGGGAATGATTTTTTTCAGTTGTATCTGATTCTTCCTGTGACCCCATTTGGGATTTTCTCGGCAAAGATACTAGAGTGGTTTGCCGTTTCCTTCTCTGGCTCATTTGCCAGATGAGGAAACTGAGGCAAATAGGGTTAAGTGACTTGCCCAGGGTCTCACAGCTAGTAAGTGTCTGAGGTCACATTTGAATTCAGGTCTTCCTGGCCCTGTGCTCTATCCAGTGTGCCACCTAGCTGGGTACATGATAGCTGACTTCAAGTCTTTGAAAGGTTCTCATGTGGAAGATTGACCAAACTTGTTCTGCTTAGCCCCCAAGAGCAGAGGAAGGCAGATTTTTGACTTAACATAAGGGTGGGGAAATTCTAACAGTGAAGAGTTCCTCTCAAACTAATAGGTTGTCACTTGGGATAGTGAATTTTCTATCACGAGGAGCTCAAGTGGACACTGGATGACCACTTTCAAGGGTCTTATAAATGAGATTCAGGATCCAAGCGTGGGAAACTGCATAGTCCACTTTGGCAGGAGTATAGAAGGATGGGATGGCGCTGTGAAATGCTTGAGGTCCCTTGCACTGAGAGGTTTGAACTTTATCCCAGTAGGTGGTAATGGGTCTCTATGCTGGATAATGAAGTGATCAAACCTGTTCTTTAGCACGATTACCAGGGTGGATTGGAAGGGGTAAGGAAAATCTCTTGGCGAGGGGTGGTTGCTTGGGCTGGCTTGGAAGGATGAGGTGTATGGTACTAAGGAATGATGGAAAAAACTAGCTGTTTTCAGCCTCAAAAACTGGCGATGGTGGTGGTACTTTTAATAGAAATAAGAGAAGGAAAGGAAAGGAGAAAGAATTGAAGGCCAGAGCTCCCTTTTAGGGGAGTTGGATTTTGGACATCAAAGCACTAGTTCCAGAGTCAGGGGTGGGGTCCCAAGGCTATTAGGGAGTAACTGGACTTGGAAGATATCACAGAAAAAAAAATGGAGGGGGGAAAAAGGGAGGGATTTGAGAAGCTATTGTCATTCTCTTCTATGTCCCTTCATTCTCCTAGCCAGCCGGGTTTTCAGATGCCTCATGAAAATTTAGCTCAGAGCCCCTAGAGATACTTTAACTTGGGAAAGGCAGCTAAGACTTTGGTCTTATAGACAGACCTTTGCCTAACTAGGGGTGTGGAATGTGGGAAGCCAGGACCCAAGAAAAGGTGGAGGAGTCATGGACAGAGGTCCGTGGAGCAGAGGTCAGGGATAAAAAGGAAAAACTAACTCTTTTCCTAACATGACTGGAGTAGCAGTAGAAGACCTGTCTCGGGAAGGCCCATCCTATGCCCCCTTCCCCTGCCCACCCTTGAGTTTGCCCCAGAGTGAGCATGGTATAGTGGAAAGAGCACAGTACTTGGGACAGAGGACCTAGGTTCTAATCCTGACTGTGTTATTTAACTACCTGTGCAACCTGGGGCAGGTTTTGGACCTCTCTTTCCTCCTCTGTAAAATGAGGGGGTTAGAGAAAATGCCTTCTAGTTCCAGATTTTATTTTATCCAAAGAAGCAGCCCTAGGGGAAGTAACCTGGGACTACAGACTTGGGGGACAGGGTGGAGATTGCCTAGTGGGAGGGAGATGGGGCAGTGCTATGGTAATGGAGAAAGAAACAAGCATTTATTAAGCACCTCCTGTATGCCAGGCACCATGCACTAGTGTGCACACAGCTGTTATCTCTTTTGGCCCTAAGAAGTGATCCTAAAGAGAACGAGACAGGAAGTCCTGGGTTCAGATCCCGGGTAGGCCACTCTGGAATTTACCATCTGCGTACCCTCGTACAAGACGCTCCATCCCCAGACTCCCAGACATTTTCAGTGACTGTCCCCCACGCCTGAAATGCTCTGCCTCCTGGCCTTCCTGGCTTCCATCAGTTCCCAGCTAAAATCCCACCTTCTAGAAGAAGCCTTTCCTGATCTGCTGTAATGTCAGTGCCTTCCCTCTGTTTACCTCCAATTTCTCCTGTATGTATTTTGCCTGTACATGCTTGTTTTCCTGTTGTTTCCCCCATTGGACAGTGAGCTTCTTGAGAGCAGGGACTGTCTTTTTCCTTTCTTTGTATCCCCAGCCAGGCACACAGCAGGCACTCCATAAATGCTTGTTGACTGACAGACTTCCCAGAACCTCAGTTTCTTCATCTGTAAATACTGCATCCCCATATTTGCACCCCAACAGGCTGTTGTAAAGAAAACTCTGTAGTTATTAGGGGGATCAGGGAGCTTGGGTCTCTACCTTGCCAAGGAAGCCAATGAGGGGAGGGGTGGAGGTGGAGTTGCAGGAAGTCTAGGAAGCCTTGAAGAAACTCAGGCCTCTAATGGCTTATCTCCCACCCGGGGATCTTGCAGCTGGGTGATCCCAGTGCAGGCTGACCCTGCAGGCTACAGAAGATGGGGGGGCGGAGAGAGGAGTTTGGAGACACTTGCCAGGTGAGCTCGTCTTCCCCAGGGGTTGAGAGATTCCTGAGGCCAGTTTGGCCTGTCTCCTCATCCATCTCCTGGGAAGCTTCCTGGCTCAGTTCCCCAGCTGACCAGGGCCGGTTCCACCCCCTTGAGAGCTGTTTCCATCTGTCCTCAGCTTGGGAGGGATGAGGAAGGGGATTTGCCTAGTCAGCAGCTCCTTATCTTCCAGACTGAGTTGTTTATTTTGGAGGAGGGGAAGGGAGATCAGGCCTCTGAGGCCTGAGGAGGTGAGAGAGGCTGAAGCCCAAGCCGGCACCTGCAGGGGAGTCCCCGAATGGGAGGTGCTGACTAGGGCTCTGAGAGGGCCCCTACCCAAAGCCCATCTTTTTGTGGTTGAGAAAAGTGAGGTTCCCCCAAAGGGGAAGTGACTGGCCCAAGGCCACACCCTCTAAATGGAGCAGCTAAACTAGAGTTCCAGTGTTCTGCCTGGGGCTAGGGAGGGGCTGGAGTCTTTGTCCCCACTGAGGACTGGGGAGCCGCTCTCTAAATAATCCCAAGGGACTTCTTAAAGCTGGAAGTGAAGGGGGGAGGGGCAGGGCCTTCATTCCTCTCCTGTTTTTCAAAAAGTGAGATTTTTTGGGTAGAAGATACTAAAGAATGATATTCCTTCTCCCTACTCTCACCTTCCTTTCTTTTCTATGTGGTATTTTCCTGTTGTCTCTGCCTGCTTGACTGTAAACTCTTTGAGGGCTGTTTGTACATCACTCTTGTCTTTGTGTTCCCTGGGCTGCTTAATGGGTGTTTGTCTCCTGATTTGAATGTGGTCCAGTCCATTTTCCTCCCTGGGCCTTCCTCTTTAAAATGAGAGAGTTAGCATTGGAGAATCTTGTCAAACCCAAAGGAAAAGGGGACCACTAAATTGGACATGGTGATAAAACCACGTGCTGACATTACTTGAGTTGTATGGTATATTTATTTGGTTAAATATTTTGCAACTCCACTTTAACCTGGCTTGGGCCCCGAGGTACAGGCCGTGTGTTTGGACGCCACTGGTGTCACTAACCTAAGGTCTCTGCCAACTCTGGGTCCGAAGGATTTCTTCCAAATGCAGACCTGTATCCTAGGCCAAAGAAGGGAGCCAGGCACTCCCATCCCTATTGATGGGAATATTTTTTTCCCTTAGGAGCAGAAGGTAGTCCCTACTCGGAGGCTCCCCCGGGGTCCCAGTGCCTTCATCCCAGTGGAAGAGGTAAGCAAAGGAGTGTTTGGCTGACTGAGGTTGGGGGGAGAAGGATGGAGAGGGACATCCCAATCCAAGCACCTAGGAAGGGGAGGCTGGAGCAGCTTGAGAGAGAGGATGCAGGAGGGGCAGCTAGGTAGCACAGTGGATAGAGCAATGGCCCTGGATTCAGGAGGACCTGAGTTCAAAATCCGGCCTCAGACAGGTAACACTTACTAGCTGTGTGACCTTGGGCAAGTCACTTAACCCCATTGCCTAACCCCCCCCCCCCCCCCCC